CTGTTGGTCATGGGAGTTCTGTGTGCCAAGTTTGGTTCAATTCCATTGTTGGTGGATTTCAGAATGCTCTTTGATTGTAGGTGAACTACAACGACAACTCCCAAATGACAAAATCAATCCCCCATCAGAATTCAAATGTGGGCATATCGGGTATTTGTGCCAAATTTGGTCCAGTGAATGAAAAATACATCCTGCATATCAGATATTTACATTATGATTCATAACAATAGCAGAATTACAGTTAAGAAGTAGCAAGAAAAATAATGTTATGGTTGTGGGTCATCACAACATGAAGAACTGTATTAAGGGGTTGCGGCATTAAAAAGGTTGGAAAACACTGGTGTAGATGAATCTGCATTAATTGTAAAGTGTAGATGTACCCCAGAGAGAGCTATTTTATCTATGGAATTGCTGTTGATTTGAATTGTTACCCTTTTTTTGGGTCACTTGATGAAGAGCAAACTGTATATTGGCAGAGAAGGCTAAGGATCTTGTAAAACTGCAGCTAACATGATTCCCTAGCATTGAGCAATATCAGCTAAAGTGGTGTCAAACTGCATTAATTCTACAGTGCAGCATATTAGGCCAATATCAAGAGATCAGCTCAAGTTTTGCAGACTCAGGGTTATGGCTTCTTTGATGGAGTCTACCCATCTGCAATGCAGTCTCCCCTTTTCCCTACTGCTTTCTACCTTGCCAAGCATTATTGTCTTTTCTAATGAGTCATATCTTCTCGTGATAAATCCAAAATACAACAGTCTCTGTTTCATCATCTTGGCTTCTAGGGAGAATTCAGGCTTGACTTGCTCTGAGACTCATTGATTTGTCTTGTTGGCAGTCCAAGGTATCTGCAGAACTCTCCTCCATCACTGCATTTCCAGTTAGTGGATTTCCTTCCTATCGGCTTTCATCACTGTCCAGCATTCACACCCCATACATGGAAATGGGGCCTACAATGTCATGGCCTATCCTAACTTTAGTATTCAATGACTGTATATATCTTTAAACTTCAGGATCCCACTTAGGTCTTTCAAAGCTCCTCTTCCAAGCTAAAAATTGTTGGCCTTCCTTCCTCCAGTTTTGATGCCGCCATCCTTTGAGTCTAAACCTATTTTGTGTATGACATTTTGAGATTGCAAGTTAGATGGAAAGGGTAATAAAATGTGGACTCACTGGAAACCACTCTGTTTCTTCGTATTCTGTCCTGACAATTGCCTCTGTGCAGAAGTTATTAATACTTTGCATGTTTTAAACTGTATATATATGTGTTGGGTTAGCTACAGTAACACTGGAGCAGCCTATTTCAGAGATCCTCAGTCAGCGTTACCATGGAGACCAAGGCAAGCTGGCAGAAGGAGGAGTGGGAGGAGCCAAGTGGAGAGAGTTTTGAAAACAGACAGTTGGAGAGTCAGTTAGGAGTTGATTTTGTATCTGAGAGGAGTAAAAGAGTGGAAGTGAAGAGTAGAGTGGGAGAGTGAAGTGTGAAGCAAAGAATTGTGGCTTTGGGAAGCCTGAATAGCTACTGGAGGTTTCTCAGTCTAAGGAGGTTGAAAGGAGAAACATAGCCAGTTTTCTTTAGTCAAGGGAAAGGCTAAAGGATAAGCTTGTTAATTTATTTGATCAAGGAAAGAACAAATAGGGAAGATATTCCTGTACTGAAACATTGTTTAGTAATAAGAGCTTCACCTCAGTAAGATACTGTGTAACCTGGAAGAGTGAAATGTTTAACTAACCAAGTATTATTCAAAGTTCTATAAAATAAGTTACAATCTTGCAACCACACGCTTTGTACTCAATAAACCAGTTATCTTTTGTTGAAGACAGTCTTCATCTCCATCCATTCTGCGTCTGTATTGCCATATCTCACAGTAATACCTCATATCTCACGTTGGTGGCAGTTACCATAGATTACATATAACAATTGGCCTCCACTATACCAGTTGGTGGCAGAATTCAGAGAAATAAACAATAAATCTCCCTCTACTCTCCTGTCACACGACAGCACGTGTGCTTTCTCTCCACTCTGATCACAGGCTGGTTTTTCTTCTGACGTTATTTGGTTCACTCCATTATCTAACATATGTTTGCAATACAATCCCTAGTGCCTCTTTCTTTCTAGAACCCAGCCTGAATATCTTGAATTTCTCACTCCATCGATCAGTAGTTCCCAACCTTTTTTTGTCCAGGAACCATTTTGATTTTTTGTTGTTGTTGTTAGCGTGGACCACAAGGTTGTGTGAGTTGAAGTCCAAAACACTCAGAGGGCCAAAGTTTGCCCATTCCTGGTGTAGATGCAGCTTATAACCCTGAGAGATAAGGATTCAAATTCTTGCTTGGTCATAGACACCCAATGTTACCTAGTGCAGGGTCATACTCTCTCAGTTCCAAAAGAAGACAACAGCAAACCCCTTCTGAACAAATCTTGCCAAGAAAACTCCATGATAGGTTTGCCATAAGTCAGAAACAACTGGAAGGTACACAATAACAGAAACAAACACCCCTTTCAAGGCGCCTCTGCCCGCTTCTGGCTTCCTTCTCCTCCTGTCCTGCTCCCAAACCCCAAAACCACTAGAGCTGGCATGTATTGAGGGGGGGCTTTCTGCACATGCTCAGGGGTGTCCTCCACCCTCTTGCTCACCACAGGGCTTCTGTGTGCTTGGCATTGAAGAAGAGGTAGTGCCAGAATGGGAAGTGCATGAGCAGCATCGCCTGCGCTTCCGCCACCCAGAACCCTTGCTGCCTATTGCCATCTTCTGCCAGGGCAGAAGTACGGGCTGGACCCTCTATGGCCAGGCTAGTCAGCATGGGTCTGTACTGCCTCAATACTTCTTCCAGTCCAATCCAAAAAGAGTCCCAGGCTTAAACGAACTCCAAAGGACACAAGGTTCTTGCGGACCCAGTGGTTTGCAGGCCACAGGTTGGGAACCAATGCCATAGATGGTCAAAGTCTTTGTTGAAGAATTTTGAGCACCACTTTTCTGGCATGGGAAATTAATGCAGTGGTCCTGTCGCTACTGCAATCTTTGGTGTCCTTTTTCTTAGGGATTGGATTGTTTATTGAGTGTTTCCAATTCATAACAATTGCTTTGTTTTCCATACTTCTTGGCACGTTTTAGTTAAAACTAGAGTAGATCCCATCTGAAGCAGTTCTATCAATATGCCATCTATTCCTGGTGATTTATTTCTTCCAAGTGACGCAAGTGTAGCTTCCATTTCACTTTGTAAAATTGTAGCTTCATCTTCAAAGAGTTTTTTCTTAAATGAATATATCATTCATCTCCTTCTTTGCTGATCATATATCATCCTATTCCTTGATTTAAATTTCTCTTTGATTTCCTTGATCTTGTGGAAGAAGTCTCTTGCTTCTCCTTTTTAAAACTGCTCTCTTCTGTTTTTCTGCTGTGACTGTTATTGTAGTTTTCCACCTCAAGTTACAATTAGCAGCAAAACTGGTTGTGGTATTTGGAATATTATAAAAAAAAAATGTAACTTTTCCCAACCCCAATCTGATGTAGCATTCAGTACTTTACTGTGTTTTTACAAGATGGTTTGTTTACTGATGTGTCTATGGACTGTAATAAATATTGTTGTTGTTGTTGTTGCTGTTGTTGTAGGTGGAGGGATAATCTTGATGATAAAGTAGATGTACTAAAAAGGAGCCAAAAATAGCGAATTGAACTCTTATGGGAATTTAACATTTAAGCTGGTATATTATTTCAACATAGCATACCAAACATAACTGTGGTTAGGAAAATAAACCCCAAATCTTGGATTATAGATGTGGCAATCCAGAAGGACAGCAAAATTAAGATAAAAAGGGAGGTAAGGATTATGAAGTACCAAGATTTACAAATAGAGATTCGTGGGAAAATAAAACAATTGTGGTTTCAGCAGGGGTTAGAGCAGTGTTTCTCAACCATCCTAATCCCGCGACCCCTTAATACAGTTCCTCATGTTGTGGTGACCCCCAACCATAACATTATTTTCGTTGCTACTTCATATCTGTAATTTTGCTACTGTTGTGAATCTTCATGTAAATATCTGATATGCAGGATGTCTTTTCATTCACTGGACCTACCCAATACACCCAAGTTTGAATACTGATGGAGTTGGAGGGAATGGATGTTGTCATTTGGGAGTTATAGTTGCTGGGATTTATAGTTCACCTACAATCAATGAGCATTCTGAACTCCACCAATGATGGAAATTGAACCAACCTTGGCACACAGAACTCCTATGACCAAGTAGAAAATACTGGAAGGGTTTGGTGGGCATTGACCTTGAGTTTTGGAGTTGTAGTTCACCTACATCCAGAGAGCACTGTGGACTCAAACAATAATAGATCTGGACCAAACTTGGCACGAATACTCAATATGCCCAAATGTGAACACTAGTGGAGTTTGGGGAAATTGTATTTGGGAGTTGTAGTTGCTGGGAGTTATAGTTCACCTACAATCAAAGTCCCTTGAATCCCACCAACAATAGAATTGGGCCAAACTTCCAACATAGAACCCCCATGACCAACAGAACGTACTGGAGGGATTTGGGATGAATTGACAGTGATTTAGGGGAGATGTAGTTCACCTTCCACCTTTCTGATGGGTATTTGGTGACCCCGCTGACACCCTCTCGCAACCCCCCCCAGGGGTCCCGACCCCCAGGTTGAGAAACGCTGGGTTAGAGAAAACATCTAAATGGGATAGACATAGATAAGGTCATAGAGCACATTCCCAAAGGATGTTCCACATTATCTGACAAAATCTGAATTCTAGATTCTTAGGCCCCCACATTTTCTGCTCTGAATTGGATTATATGGCAGTGTAGACTCGGATAACCCAGTTTAAAGCAGATATTGTGGGATTTTCTGCCTTGATATTCTGGGTTATAAGACTCTATGGAAGGGTCTCTAGTTAGAACCTTAACCAATATTCCAGTCCAATATTCACAAATCGGAGACCGTGAAAGCAAGGCTAATAAAATGATTCTGTCTTCTTATTTAGGCTTGGAAGAAACGATGGTTCATCCTTCGCAGTGGGCGCATGAGCGGAGACCCGGATGTGCTGGAGTATTACAAGAACGACCATTCCAAGAAGCCTCTGCGCGTCATCAACCTCAACTTCTGCGAACAGGTGGATGCTGGCTTGACCTTCAACAAGAAGGAATTGCAGGACAGTTACGTCTTCGACATCAAGACCAGCGAAAGGACCTTTTACCTTGTCGCCGAAACGGAGGATGAGATGAACAAATGGGTTCGCAGCATTTGCCAGATCTGTGGCTTCAACCAGTCTGAAGAGAATGCAGGTATGGCCAAAGTATTTTTTACGGTTCTGCATCAAAAGAGCTCTGAGAAAGAAAGGATTACTGGGATAGCTGGTAAGGGCAGGTGAAAAGTATTGTCATATATGCTGGAGCGTAAAAATATGGCATGTGTCTACTATGATACAACTCCAACTGACTGAAAATGTATTGAATATGTTTATATGATCTATATCAAGTGTTTCTGATCTGTGACCATTGTTTTGTTTTCCATATTTGTTGACAGATTGTAGTTAGAACCAGAGTTGGTTCCATTTCTGTAGATTGAAGCAGTTCTATCAATATTGACCTATTCCTGGTGATTTATTTCTTCCAAGTGCCCTAAGTGTAGCTGCCGTTTCACTTTGTAAAATTGCACATTTATCTTCAAAGAGTTTTTCCTTGAATGGATCTATCACCTTTCCATCAATTCCCTCGCTGGCCACATACCATCCTTGTTTTGGGTTTAAATCGTCAGGCTTTGGAAATAACCTGACATTTTGTAAGTGATAGCAGAGTTAATACCTCTGGCCTAACCACCTGTAAAAGAGTTAAGCCACAGTAATTAGGGTATAGTGGTTAATGCAATGGGAGTAGTATATAGGTCAGTGATGGGCAACCTTTTGAGCTTGGTGTGTCAAAATTCGCCAAAAAAACCGAGCATAATTCAGGTGGGGTGCCACTTCGAGAGAGAAAAAAAGACTGCTTGGAGGAGTGAGCAAGCAAGCAACCCACGGCTGGGGGGGCGCCCTTCGGAATTTGGCGCTATACGCAAATCCCAATGCAGCCCCATACTTCTCTGTATGCAGCCGCATGTGGCCACGTGTCATTGAAAATGGCTATGCGTGTCAGTGCTGACACGTGTGTCATAGGTTCGCCATCATGGATATAGGTTGTTGTTATACTGAGTAAGTTTGATGAGAGTTGTTGAGGGACGGATGGTGGTTTGGAGAATTGTTGCTGTGAGTAGTAAGAAAGAAGAAGCTGTAAAGTTTGTATATTTTGTATATATTTCATATGCTGTTGCAACAAAGAAAGAAAAGCATTCCTGCTTATTTGTGAAAGAACAGAAGTCTCTCTGTGTTGTGTTGTTTGAGTAGAAAACCACTATACTTACTTAGGCAATCCCTCGTAGCCCAATGATGATGGCCTTCCAAGTGTAGTGTCTTTGCGGTGGATACATAGGTGGATACATAGGTGTGGATCCCTATTTTTGACCTGCATGTTCTTCTGCAGTGAGGACATTGGTTTCCAGGTAGAAGCCAGTCCTCGTCAGGGTTGGCTTTACACGCCTTCCTCTTGGCATGTTTCTCCCTTTTGCCCTCCATTCATGCCTCTTTGAATCCTGCAGCACTGCCGGTCACAACTGGCCTCTAGTTAGAGTGCTCAAGGGCCAGGGCTTCCCAGGTTTTGGTGTCCTTGACACAGTTCTTAAGGTTATCTTTAAGTCCATCTTTAAATCTCTTTTCTTGTCCACCAACATTACATTTCCTGTTCTTGAGTTGGGAGTAGAGTAACTGCTTTGGGAGACAGTGATCTTTGAGCATTTGGACAAAGTCGCCAGTCCAGCGGAGTTGATGGCGTAGGAGCATCGCTTCAGTGCTGGTGGTCTTTGCTTCTTCCAGCATGCTGACATTTGTCCACCCATCTTCCCAATAGATTTGCAGGATTTTTTGGAGGCAATGCTGATGAAATGGTTCAAGGAGTTGAGTGTGACATCTGTAGGCAGTCCATGTTTCGCAAACATATAACAGGGCTGGGAGGACAATAGCTTTATAAACAAGCACCTTGTTTCCAGCTGTTAGGAATTGTGGGAGTTGAAGTCCAAAACACCTGGAGAGCCGAAGTTTGCCCATACCTGGTGTAGATAGAACCAAAGGGATTCTTCTGCCAAAATGGGTTAAGAGCCAGAAGCCTACCACAATCAAAAAGTCTTGGCTTGTCTGCAGAAAGAGAGGAGCCAACCAAACCGCCCACGATTTGTGTTTTGTTTTGCAAAAAATGACTCCTCCAGCTCTGAATGTTCTGCAAAATCAATAATACCGGTCCATCCTGGAGTCTGGCGATCGTCATCCAAATCAAAGTGGAAAACAAGGACGGGAAGTGTGAGAAGGGATTGTTTCACGTGGACGGTCTCCAAGAGGTGGGGAAGCCTCCGGGTGGGTAGCTCTCCTCTCCAAACAGTTTCTCCTTCACCCACTCTCTTGCTATCTAGCGTAAAATTCAGCTGCGCACAGATGGAGAAGAAGGATGCTTTGGAGATGGACTCCCCCTGGCCTGGTGCTCCTGGAGTGGAGGCATTGCACCTGCCAAGACCAATTCCTCCTAACGCAAGATGCTCGGGGGCAGCAAGCTCAGACGTCTGGCTGCATTAGGAAGCAGGAGGTGTCTTTATTTCGAAAACAGTGCTGCTTAGGCTGCTTTTATGGGACCAAAAGGCTTGCAATTCGATTCTCCCAAATCACTCATAGTCATTTTATGGGTTATGGAAGAGAGCTTGTTTCTCAATCCTGTGCCGTTTGAGCGTTCAAGGGAATTGGTGTTCCCAAAACGAGCACTTCCGAGATCTGCTCCAAAAATGTTTAATTGTTGACCTGCAACTCATAAAAGAAGGATTTTTGCTCAAAAAATGCATTGCCATCCAAAATGTTACATTTCCTAATAGGACTACTGATATGGAAATTATAGTTTATCTTCCCTTACGAATATAAATATAAATATACTTCTTTATTCCTATCTCACCCAGGGTTTTAACATTTTATCTCATGCATCTGGCCCGTCCTTTGTGTTTGATTTTTATTATGTTACTAGCCGTCCCCTGCCACACGTTGCTGTGGCCCAGTCTGTTGATCTGGAAAATAAAGTAATGAGAAAGTGTTGGTTTCTAATATATGTAATGTCTTTCTGCTTGTGTGTAAACAGCATTTCTTGTTTCTTTGTCAGTGTTGATGTGGAGAGTGTCTGGTTTGCCTACTCTTGAACATGCAACATATCATTGTGCTTTTTTAGGGGTCCCTTTCAAATCTATGATAGAGAAGGCTGAGAGGAGATATGATAGCCATGTATAAATATGTGAGAGGAAGCCACAGGGAGGAGGGTGCAAGCTTGTTTTCTGCTTCCTTGGAGACTAGGACGCGGAACAAAGGCTTCAAACTACAAGAAAGGAGATTCCATCTGAACACTAGGAAGAACTTCCTGACTGTGAGAGCCGTTCAGCAGTGGAACTCTCTGCCCCGGAGTGTGGTGGAGGCTCCTTCTTTAGACGCTTTTAAACAGAGGCTGGATGGCCATCTGTCAGGGGTGCAATATTCCTGTTTCTTGGCAGAATGGGGCTGGACTGGATGGCCCATGAGGTCTCTTCCAACTCTTTGATTCTATGATTCTGTGTGTGTGTGTGTGTGTGTATCATATATATCTAACTATATCTATGGCTGGATGACTCTTTGTCAGGAGGGCTTTAATTACGTTTTCGTGCCCTGGTGAAGTTGGAGTGGATGGCCTTAAGTATTTTCTGATGGTCATGGGGGTTCTGTGTGGGAAGTTTGCCCCAATTCTGTCATTGGTGGGGTTCAGAATGCTCTTTGATTGTAGGTGAACTATAAATCCCAGTAACTACAACTCCCAAATGTCAAGGTCTATTTCCCCCAAACTCCATTTGTGTTCATATTTGGGCATATGGAATATTTGTGCCAAGTTTGGTCCAGACCCATCATTGTTTCAGTCCACAGTGCTCTCTGGATGTAAGTGAACTACAATTCCCAAACTCAAGGTCAATGCCCACCAAATCCTTGTAGTGTTTTCTGTTGTTTATGGGAGTCCTGTATGCCACATTTGGTTCAATTCCATCGTTGGTGGAGTTCAGAATGCTCTTTGATTGTAGGTGAACTATAAATTCCAGCAACTACAACTCCCCAATGACAAAATCAATTTTTTTAGTGAAGGACATACATTGGGTTGTTAGGTGTATGCTGTCCAAATTTGGTGTCAATTCGTCCAGTGGTTTTTGAGTTCTGTTAATCCCACAAACGAACATTACATTTTTATTTATATAGATTTTACACTGTTCATTTTATTTTGATAATATAATATAATAATAATAATATATTATTATTATTATTATTATATTATTATTGTGATGTATTTTTGTTGGTTTGTGACTAATTATGCTGTGTTATTTTTGGGCTTGGCCTCATGTTAGTTGCCCCGAGTCCCCTTTGGGTAGATGGTGGTGGGTTATAAATAAAATTTATTATTATTATTATTATTATTATTATTATTATTATTATTGTTGTTGTTGTTGTTGTTGTTATTGTTGTTTATGATATTAGGCACAAGCCTAATATTAACATGTGAAACTATACATTTGTTTTTCATGGCTGCCTCTCAGTATAGGGACTCAAGATGTCTAACAACAAATACAGATTGAGCCATTGCAAATGCATTGAACTATGAGTGTGAAAATTAAAAATATTCAACTCTTTGTGCCATTAACTATACAAATATTAAAATACGCTTAAAAACGACACACTACTTTATCATAACTTCCTCCCAAGGCAGCTTACAATGCAAGGCGAAGCAAAATGGGGAACAATTATGAAGGTACCAATTGAAAATAAATAAAAATAACCAAAGTAGAGGAGGTCTAGCACTCCCAAACTTACGTCTCTACCACGACGCATCAGCCTTGTGCTGGGTTAAGGAATGGATAAGCCTTAAAGAGAAAAAATTGCTAGCCTTGGAGGGACATGACCTAATGCGAGGTTGGCATAATTACCTATGGAGGGGGACAGCAAAAAAAGAAAGAGACTTTAAAAACCACTTTGTAAGAGCACCACTCATTCAAGTCTGGGAAAATTATAAAAACAAGTTCCACACAAAAGTCCCAGTATGGTTCTCACCTAATGAGGCTAGTCAAATTAGAGGAGCCAGCAGAGAAAAATGGCTGACTTATAAGGAGATAATAAAAGGAAACACGCATGAACCATCTTTAAAAACTCAGGAGGAGT